GCTGTCCCTCTTTCAGCAGGGGCCTCCCAGGGACTTGTATCCCTACAGCTGACTTCCCTGTCCATCTCCTTGTTTCTGAATCAGTACTGATCTGTGCGCTCAATGGGCCATTTTGGGGGGACAAAAGTTACACATGAAAAGGAACTGAAGCTCCTGTAAGGACAAGTCAATTTCATTGTGAATTATGAGGAAAAGGGAATTGGGTTTAGTCAGTGAGACACTGACTTGATCTCCTGAGCTCCAGAGCTGCATCTCTGGGCTGGTTCAGAGGCACATTCCTGAGGGGCTGGGCCTGCTGTGAGTCTCTGGCCTCAGGGAGTTTCCCTGAGCAGGTAGAGGAGCAGCCTGGGGTCCTGGCTCTGGGGTCTGTGTTGAAATGGAGTCCTGGGTGCAGACTCTGGGTGGCCTGGGTGAGGGTCCCTTAGATGAGTCTTTGTGAGCACCTGCCGGTCCATGATGGTGCCAGGGCCTGCGGATCCTACAACTGGGAACTTCCCCCAGGGGTTGCCGAGGCTGCTGGGTGAGGTTTAGGCATGTAGATGCCCTTTTCCCTGGTGCTGGGGTGACTGGGGCTGACCTTGCCCAGGACAAGTTAACCAATGGGAGGGAGGCCTCAGGTCAGGGAAGACCCTGGGGCTGGGCAGGACCTCACTTTCCCAGTCAGTGTAAAGGGAGCCCCCTGGCAGGCAGCACACACTTCCCTGACAGCACACCATGGCCTCCCTCTGGATCCTCTCCTGCTTCACCCTCATCGGGGTCTCTGTAGGTGAGTGTTGGGGTCTGAGGCATTAGCCAGGCCTGGAAGGAGAGTGAGGAAGGCCTTGATATGGCAGCAGCTCACATCAGGCCCCACTTGGAGAATGGGGGTTTTCCAAGGGTGAGGCCTCTTGTCCATCCCCAGGGAAGTTTTGAATCCCTCGCCTGTTCCCATAACTTCAGAGCAGACAGTCAGTGACTTTGCAGGAGGAGAGTGGACCTGGGGGACTTTCTCAGCTCACACAGCTATGCCAGGTGTGGGGCAGAATGTCAGTGACTCAGGGGAAGGAGCCCAGATAGTGGCTCAGGTTTGTGTGAGAGGGTCAGTGAAGGTGGCCCAGGGGGCCATCAGAATTCCTTCTCATATAATTTATTTAATGACAGATAGATAAGATTTTTGCTTAAAAATTAAAAAAAAAACAGAAAAAAACTAGTATCATATTATGTACACACTGGACTATGCTCAGGATGTAGCAAATACCAACTTTCTGACAACTGCAGTTTGATTTTGGTGTTTTGGTTTTTTGTAAATTTTTTATTACACCTCCACCAGTCTCAACAGCTCCCTGACCACTCCACCTGCCCCTACTGAGTCCCTGCTTGTTACCCTGTGCAGGCTTCACACACTCACACCTAGGGCTCACCCAGCATAGCGGGATCCGTGGGGGAGCCCCTCCCTGTATCCCCTCACTTCCTGTAACATCTGCTGTCCCCACAGGGGTGAGACCTCAGGTCCCTGCCTGCACAGGGACCAGCCCCCCCTGCATTGCTGTGAAGCGCCTGCAGGGGGCGCCGCTCACAGCTCCTGTGGTGGTTTTCTCTTTTAGAAGATGAGCAGGGGACATGTCAAGCCAAAGCCTTGAGTCAGTGGCCGGACCATATCCCTGTCCCCCACTGGGGCAGGTGCTGCCTGGTGCAAGTCCTGGGGGACTCTGTTTCCTGCAGGTTGGGGAAAGGCCTGGCCCTGCCCAATTTCTTCCTTTGCTCATGTGCTGGTTGCTGTTGATAGCTTGTGTCCTGACCCAGTAAGAGTGTCCTGGTGTCCTGCTTTTGTCACGGGCCCTGTGTGTCCTCCCTGTTCAGGACAATCCTATTCCTTGATTATGTTTCCTTCTGGTCTGCCGATGGACGTTTCCTATCTTATTAAATCATGAAGAAACTTCAGTTTCAGGAGAGGACTCAGCAAAGTAAATGTATAGAGGTATAATTTCCGACCAAGAAATTATTAGAGAGAGTGGGATTTCAAGAGACCTTGCTACTCATTGTTTTAAATACTGTTACATCCCAGACACAGCTTTAGTGTGTTTTAATATGTGTGATGCTGTAATTATCCACATTTCTTGGGGAAAATAAGCCAGGTGATTCAGAGGTTATAGCAGGGATAATGGGGGGAGCAGAGGGTCCCAGGGTTTCCTCGGCCAGTGTCTGCTCCATTGCCAGGGGTCCCAGATGGAGACACATGTCCCTCTGCATCACCAGGGGGGTGACTGGGCCACCAGGCAGGGGTGTATCTTCCTGTGTAGATACAAGGTGTTAGGAGGGTTTGTGGGATATTTCCATGCAACTGAGGGGGCAACCTGATTTCTGCAGACTGACTGGACCTCCCCCTTACCTTCTCCCTTTGACCCCAGGCTCGGGGGTCCCTGCCAGTGACCTGGAGCTGAGCATTACACCCAGGATCATTGGTGGGAAGGACGCCCTTCCTGGTGCCTGTCCTTGGCACGTGTCTCTGGTGGTGAGCATGGTGTGCCCTTGAGTGGGGTCATGATGGGTTACCTCCTCACAATTCAAGACTGAACCCCAGCAGTTGTGACTGAAGTCCTGTCAGTGTATACTGTCCCTTCCTCCTACAGAATTCTACTGGACATTTCATCTGTGGGGGCTCCCTGATCGACAGGTTCTGAGTGATCTCCTCCATCTACTGCAATATCACGTGAGGTCCAGAAATGCCTATGCAAGGGAGGGTGGTGGTCTCTCCTCTATCCTTACGGCCTGCTCCTTCTTCTAGGACCTCTGACCTAGTTTTGACTGTATGATGTAACCGTCTCTGGCGCTAACATTCAAATTCTGCCGGTTGCCCAGGTATTTCAGCCCCACTGATGAGGCCCTGGAGGCAGATGAGGTTTTTGAGGTGACCAGCGGAGAACACCCTCCGATGGGGAGACGAGAGCCACAGATGGCCTCAGTTCTTCTCGTGGTCTTCCTGCATCTGTGTTCCCTGAACAGGCTGCCCAGTGCTCATGGTCTCACCTCATCATCCGTGTCCTACCCCATAGGTTTTCATACACCCTGATTTCAACGCGACCAACGCCTACAGTGACATCGCCCTGCTGAAGCTGGGTTGGCCCGCTCATTTTGATCACACAGTGTATCCTGTTCCCCTGCCCAGTTTTGATGAATACGTCCGTCCTTTAACCTTTTGCAAAATTTTTGGCTTTGGCTACCTGTACCTCAATGGTGAGTGACTATGACCTTGCCTCTTAGGACATACCCGAGGGCTCTGCTTTGTGGGCTTGCCTGAACTTGAGAGTGTCCTAGCTGTGTCTGAATTTCAACAACCCGCCTCTTACTGACAACCCAGGAACCCCCTGGGTCCAAGGTCACGATGTCCTTGACCTGTCAGGTTCTGCTGTCACAGCCCATTCTCAGAGGGCCCTGCCCCACTCACCTCATTGTCCGGCCTTGGTTTCAGCCAGTATACCTGGGGTGGTCATATGCATCCAGCCCTGGCTGGTGTCCCCACCTGGGGCCTCCCTGGTGACATTGTTCCTAAGAGCCCTGACTGCTAGTCCCCTGCCTTGTCCGCTGGGTTAGGCCCCTTCTTGGCCAGGATAGATTGGCCAGGAAGGGGCAGCATAGAAGGCCACGCCAGTCAACACTGCAGTGGTGTGTCCATTCAGAAAGAGGCCAGTCCCCTTCCTTGGAGGAAGCACTGCCCTTGTCCAGGGCACCACCCTGGTCCACGTAGGCTGAGGCCACCCCAGGTTGTGCAGGAAGGGCTGTTTCTTCTCTGAGCTTGGAGCAAAGTCAGCCTGACCCAGGCTGGGACCCGAAGGCCCTTGGAGGTTCTAAGGACTACAGAGTGCCGGGCTGGTCATGACTCAGAGAGGGCGACAGGGCCTGTGGCGTGAGCTCTCTGGCCCACCAGCAGGGTGGGCTAGGGATGAGGGCCCTGGCCCACACTGGTCCTCTGTTAACAGGCACAGGCTGCCCCAAGAGGCTGCAGGAGGCCATTGTGCCGATCCTCCGCATGTCAGGCTGCCTTAGGTTCATGCCCGGCTTCATACCCCACTTCATGCTCTGTGCTGGGATCCAAGGCATAGGCATCCACAGTGTAAGTACCACTCCGACCCAGAACTCACTCTGTCCCCCCTTCAGGCTGGTGGCATCTTTCTGGTCCCCAAAACAGGCACCCTGGTCCCTGGGAGTGTGTCCTGGGTTTGGGCACCACCAAAGCCCAGCATTGCAGGTAGTGTTTCTGCTAGGCGAGGGGGCATTCCCCAAGTGAGTTTGCTGGCAGGGAGAACCCTGTTTAAAGACCCCAGAAGCCACTCTCCCTTCCCCTACCAGCACCTTTGTGCAAAGTGGGCCCTCCTATAAAGTGGAGCTTCTCTGGCTGGGATTTAGGCACACCGTGGCATTTTGCCAACTCATGACAGGCCCGATGTGGACTCCCAGAAGTGAAGCCCTGGCGAAATGCAGACAGGTCCTTCTCTTCCCACAGGGCGACCCTGGTGGCTCCATGGTCTGCCGCAAGAATGGAATCTGGACTCTGACGGGCATCTTATCTTCTTATGACAAAGACGAACGCATCTTGAATCCCTTTGTGCTCACTCGTGTCTCTAAATTTATACCCTGGATCAAGAAGATCATGGCTAACAACTAGTCCTGATTCTCCCATCCTAGTGCCCTTTACCCCCAATAAAGCCCCTACACAGACCCTGACTGCTTGTGTCTGTGACTGGGGCGGTGGCTGCAGTGCCCCTGTCCCCCACCAGGGGGCGGCGTGCCCCTCCCTTTCCAGCTCAGAGCCCAGAGCCCCTGTTTGTCAGGAGCTGAGGCCTTTGGGTCCGGGCCTCACTGCTCAGGGGGTCCCTGGGGGAGAGTCCACACACCTGCTGCAGCCTCATGTCTCACCCTGGCATCTGCCTTTTGGGCAGTTGGGTTAATGTAAGGAGTTTGTGGAAGGCAGAGTGCCCCGGCCAGGCCATGAGTCCTCCCAGCAGGTCTGTTCCTCCTCCCATGGGCCAAGCACCTTTCTGTCTATAACACCCTGCACATCCCGGACCAGATCATTCACGCAGTCTGCACCCTCCCCAGATTCCACCTGGGCCCTGCACAAACACTGTATTGCGTAATTGGGAAACTTCCAGATCCTAAGACTGGCACCACTACTCTCTGAGGTCCCCCTGTGCCCTTTGCTTCCCTGTGACCGGCAGCTGGACGTGAGACCTGATGAGGCTCCTGCTGAGTCCACACCAGGCTGCAGGGGCCGGCTCCTGCCTGGGGGTGCAGGGCTGGTCTCTGTGGGCATCACAGGCCTCAGGCCCGGTGGCGGCAGAGCCGTTTCTGTAGACGGGGGTGACTCACTGCTTGTTTCAGTGATTTGTTCACAGGAAAAGTTTCCACAGAGGTGTGTCCCCACCTGTCACGCACTGACCCTGTACAGTGTGTAGAAAATACAGGGGAATCTCTGTCCACAACTCTCATTACTGAATTTTTTGAGATCATTTACTTGCTTCATCAGGTCACTCAAGGAGATTTGTTCATTTTTTGCGTTTTAGAATCATTCAAAGTATGTAACAAAAGGGTTGTTTCAATAACTGGTCATGATGACCCTTCATGAAGCTCAGTTGCCGCTGTAACCAAGGGGACTGTCCAGTTACCAATGGTATATTTGTGTGGCCACGTGGGTTCCGAGCTCCCCCTCTGTCTGGCCCCACAGGACCCCCAGACCTGAACCCGCAGGTTCTCAAGCCCCCCGCCGTCTGGGTGGGAGGAGGCGTGTACTCCACGGGCTGGGCAAGGCCTCGCTCAGGTGTGCCCGCTGTGCGCCTGCGCGGGGCGGAGCAAGTGCCTTACTGACAGGTCATTTTCACGGCCAAGGTCCAGTGGCTCACGCTGATATTAGCGCGTTTACTCAGGGTGAAGGGCGTCTCTCCTACTGGAAATGGAGCGCGTGGCCATGTTTTCAATTCTCCATTAGGTATCCTCATTACAAGGACACGGGGGATGTTGGATTAGAATAATATGCCTTAGTGATATATGGCTTTATCCAGTTATTTGTGTTCAAGTTCGGTTAATATTCACATTATCATCACTATATAGCTCATGACATCTTGTGCAATTATTTTGCTCTCCCATGTCTAAATGGAGCCCTCCCTTCCCCAGAGCGCCCTGACATGTGTCTCCCTTATCCCCCTGTGTCCATCTGGCTCAGGCCCCTGTGTGCTGCGGTCAGCGGGTCCTGGAGTCCGCATATGTGGCCCGTGGGACGCCAGACTCCTCTGCGGCTTCGCAGGAGAGCTCAGGGGTCCTGTCATTGTTCACTGGTTATATATTTCTTTGGGGAAAATATTCAACAAGTATTTTCACAATTTTCCAGTTATGTTTCCCTTTCTCTTGTTGAATTTTAGAGATTCTTTCTCCGTCTGCATTCCTAGCCCTCATGAAAAGATGTTCTGGAAGTATTTTCTTCCTTTTGTTCTCCATAGGATTCTTCCACTGACTGTCTCTGTAGATGCTCAGAAATTTTAAATGTTGATGTGTCCATGGCATTTTCCTTTTGTAGCTTATTCTTTTGGGGTCATATAGAACTTTGATGAAAATTGTTTTCCATGTGGAGAATGGGCTGGGTGGTACAGACATGCGAAGCATTTGCAGTCATCATAGAACGCCCTGCCCACCCAGACAGACAGGTGTCCTGGGCCACAGGACAGGGGCAGGCACCAGGTAGGGGCAGAAGCCCAGGTGGAGACAATAACTCTCCCTCCCGCCCCCCCCCCTCACTCATGCCTCTGGGCGGGATCCATGGATGGGGAGACCTTATCCCTTAATCCCAGTTTTCTTTCTCATATTTTCATAATTCATTGCTTTTAGGTAAGAAAGATTAACTGCACTGAACATGTTTTAGAGGTGTAGGTCTACTGCCCCTTCTCAGATGAGTTTCCCCTATGCACGCTGCATCACAGCCGCACTACACCTTTTTACTCTCCACTGGAGTCCTTTGCCCAGTTCCCCACTCCTCATCTCAAAGAAACCTCATTTCTG